GTTTGCTGCAAATTAAACTGAGTATAAACCTAAGCTTTACATCTTTTCTTTCTTTCCTTAAGCTGCTTGGAAATGCAGTGGAACTCAGGATTTTTTTCCTACAAGTCTCTGTTTTGGTCTGTTGTGTTTCTTTGTTTTTACTGGCAAAAAGTAAAAATAAAAGCAGTTGGCTATTCTCTGGTATATGTTTTCTGGTTTTTCAGAAAAACCTTCATCCCCTTAGGTTGAGCTTGCAATTTTCCTAGTCACAAAAACCTTTTTCTGATGAGTTGCCTGTCAGGAAAAAGTCAAATCTGTTTTTTTATTTTTTGCAGGGAAGTATGTTGGATAACATGCTTCTGCTCCAGCTTGATGGAAGAAAAGGCTCAGTCAGAGGCAATCTGAACTTCCTCTGCCAGCTCCAAAAGCATTGTGGTTTTAATAGGAGATGGACTTAGTTCAGTTTTGTTTCTGATGTTCTGGCTTCATCTGGAAAGGCAGAGGAAGTGATGGTCCTGTGGGTTCTTCTCTCAGTAAATCATCTGAATTTAGATTGTTTGCATTCTGAAGTGCTTGGGTTCTGATGCTGAGATAAGGAATACTGTGATTCTTCTGTGATGTAGCAGATGATTTTTTTTTTTTGTAATCTGTTAGCCTCTGAATGGTAAAATTTGGACTTATTTACTCTGGCAAGGGGGATGAGAGACTTAAGGAGAAAAATTCTCCACTCAGCAGTAACATTTCTAAAACTAGAGCTGGTGATGAGGTAATTGGAACTCCTGCAGTGTTTTATAATCAGCCTGTAAGCTGGATTTCTGATGCTGACTTCATATTCAAATATGCTTAACTGTAATAAATAATATGTATTTATAATGTTACCTTGTAACTGGATGGCTGAAGAGTTTAGTAAATTTTTTTATTATTATTCATAAGATTAATGTTGAAAAGGCAACATTAAGGGCAGTTTACCCTTTTCCCAGTGTTGAGAGCATCTCAAGACTCAGCCTGGGGTGAGGAAGAAGTCACTCTACAGGTGACAGTGACTTATTAGTGACCAGAGCTGTGCAGAGCCCCTCGTGTCACTCAGCAGTGACTGAGTGTGCCAAGCACAGCGGGTGGTGTTTGGTGGGAGCACCCAACATTTGGGGTGGGCAGAGATTGCTGTGCTCAGGCTCTGCAGGGCTGAGCCCCGGGCCAGGAGTGCATGGGGACAGGAACGGCCTCGTGTGGGGACAGGAGGGGCTGCCCGTGGCTCGTGTGGGGACAGGAGGGGCTGCCCGTGGCTCGTGTGGGGACAGGAGGGGCTGCCCGTGGCTTGTGTGGGGACAGTGCTGCTCTGACTCCAGCTGGCTCCTGACAAGTTAAGAATGCAGGTGTACTGTGCTGAGGTGGTCTGCTAGATAAAGTTGTTTGCACATTTTAAATGGCACTTTTGCTGTTTCTGATGCTTTGAAGACAAGGTCAACTGTGGCAAATTTTACCCTCCATTGACAGCATGTATGAAAGGTCCTTGAACTCTGTCATGTCCCTACATGTGCTGCCCTATAGCAGTGCTGAGAACAGTGCAGCCACAGTAATGTTGAGGAAAAGTGAATCATTCTGTCTAGCTCCAGCCATGGATTTGTTCTCACCCTGATTTTAAAGCTACCTGCTTTTGAGTTTTTTTCTCTGCTGCACAAATGTGATCAGAAATTTGAAATTTTGGTAGCTTTCAGTCTGTGCAAAATGTAACTTAGCTACTTTATCTTTACTGCTGGAATAATAATAACATATCATGGCCTACAAAAGGTAATGTGAAAAGAAATTAAAGAAGTTTATTTAAACCATATTCCAGTTTTGAATGGTGTTTAATTACCCACTGTTTGATCCTTGAAGTGTGTAGTAGCACTTAGATCTTTATGCTGTAAAAGTTTTGCTTTAATTTCCTGAGTAATTCTGTCAGACCGTGTTGGTAAACTCTGCACAGTTTTGTCCAAGTATGATCTCTGCAGCATGCAACCGAAGTGTCCAGCTGAAAAATTGAAATGGAAAGTTACAAAATACTGTTGTCCCCTTTTTGTATCGTGAAGCCATGATTGATCAGGTAAGAGAGGGAAAGGAAAAGATAAATTATGCCACATTTTTGACAATGTAGGATTTTTTTCTAGGCTCATATAGAGGTTTAACTAATGCTAGTGTATATGTTAGTTGAACATTTGAAATCTAGTCAAATACAGCTGTTCATGAATAAATCAGTCTCTCTATTCCTGCTTAGCCTGTTGCTTTCCTGAGCCAGCACAGCCAGCAGTGTAGCAGTGCAGTGCACTCAGAGCTGCTCCAGTTTGAATTAGTTTTATTTGGAGGAGATGCTTCTCTGCATTGAACTACAGGGCTGGTAGGGTTTAAACAACAATTTCAGTTGTGTTTGTTTTTGCATACATAGTTAAAAAATGAAAATAGGGTATATTTGCTAGCCATTAGAAAACTAAGTGTACATTGTTTCTGTTGCCTCGAATTTAGTTAAATGTGTTTCAGTAAACATGGAGCTCTGCAGTGGGGGTGAAACTAAATGGATAATGATTTTGGAGCAGAGGTTTGGGAGAGTTGTCCCTGAGAAATGAGACTGAAAGACTTGTGTATGTCCCATCTGCTCTCAGTCAGTTTTAGGGGAACTGTTTTGTTTTCTTGCTCTCTGGAACTGATTAGCAGCCATTGTAAATTCACTGATGTTACTTTGTCTTTAGTGTGTGGGTCAGCATTATCTGAAAGAGTTACTATCTAGAACATATGGGTTAAATAAAAAAAGTGTATGTCCTCTTGGCTTCCTGTGTTTGTGTTCTGTTTAGATGTTGTTAAGGTTGGTGTCCAGCTGCCTCCCTGCAGTTTGAAAGTGAGCTTGGGCCAGATGTGAGCAGACAGATCAGGACCTGGTGAGAAGGTCACAATAGGCATAATTGCTTAGGCTTCCTTTTTTGAAAATCATAATTTAGGATTTTTGACTGATGAATATTGTGTAACATGAAGCAGAACTTCATTTGCCTCTTAGATGATAACTGCATGAAACAATTTATGTTGTATGTTTTAGAAGCTGTGCTTAAGCAGCTTTCTGGGCAGTGGAGAGCATGATTCTCAAATCAGTTGAATTTTCAGATTCCTTGTGATACATGTAGTTTCTTTTCTATGTGTGTAGATTCTTATCTATGTGTGAGGAAGTATGGTTTGCCTTCTTTAAGGATTGAAATCCTATTTGTTTTACCAGAGTATCTCACTACTTTTCCTAACAGCATTATATTATTTGAGTTGTCTTTCTTTTCCTGTCAGAGATGCTGGTGTTTGGAAAAACCCCATAATGTGGAGTTGTGATTCATAGAATTGCAGATGTTGCTTGGAAGGGACATCTGGAGGGAGGTCATCTTAGTCCAGCCTCCCACTCTGAGCAAGGCTATTGCCAACACTAGTTTAGGTCAGTTTTAGCATTTAAAATCTGCCAGGATAGACTCCACCTCTCTGGGAACACTTCCTGGTGTCCAGCCTGACCCTGCAAAGCCAATGGAACTGGGGAGAACTTGGCTCTGTCATCTCTGCCACTTCCATGCAGTAGCTTTAGGCTCTATAAGATTGGTCCTTGGCCCCCTCTGCCACACTGAGCAAGCCAAATTCCCTCCCCATCCCTTGGCAGTCCAGGTGCTTTGGATCCCTGAGCATCTTGGAATCCCTTTGCTGGTCAGTCTCCAAAACTGTGCTCAGTCCCTGGTTTGTAATGGCAGAGCAGGAATTCAGTTTCTTCACTCCTGGCTGAGCCTTTCCTGTACACAAGTAAAGGTGTTCCTCTGCTAGAGATCAGTGGCTGTACCCCTAGGAGGAGTCTGCTTTGCTTTAATTATTTTCTAGGTAAGAAGTCAGGATGATGGGATCCTTAAGGGTGATCTAAGGATCTCAGCAGCTGGAAAAGCAGGAGAGAAATGAGTGAATGTCATCCATGTTGTACTTGTGATAGAGATCTGCAAAAGCTCTGAGATGCAAGCATATCTGTCTTTCTTTGTCTGTAGAAAACATCTACTTTTGGAACTGAGAAAACACATCTAGTATTCAAAACATGGAGCAGGGTTTTTTGGATTTCAGTGCTGGGTGGAAAACACCAAGCCAGGAGAAAGTAGAAGGTGATGGCTCTCCTCGAGGCCCAAAGCCCGAGGGTACTGGATGAAAGGGACAGCAGTAATTGAACTGCTCATCAAGGGTGACTCCAAAATTGAAGGAACAGGAATTTAAGTAGTGTGGCACTTCAAAATGGCCTGAACTGGCAACTCATAATCATAGAGTGAGTTTGTTAAAGCTTTTTGGTTTTTTTTTTACTAAAATGCAACAGTTTTGTTTTTTAGTAAGAAAGGTGATAAAGTAATTAAGCTTTGGATTTCTTCTCACATTGAATTCCTGTGACATGCCACAAGGTTACAAATGAAACCACTTCTAATTTGGGGGCAGTTTGTATTCAATGAGAAATGCACAGTCCTTATTCAGCAACTGTTCTATGGGATTGAAGGTAAAATACTCTAAGTAGCTGTGTTCTGTTAGTTAGTGCTCAACTGCACACATAGATTAATTGTGAAAATCTGGACAGGGAATTATTACTACAATCTTAATTTGAAACTTCAGGGGGAACTTGGTTTCAATTTTCTTCTGGGGTCCACACAAGCCTCTGGTGAAGGGTGCACTGTGAAGAATAACCAGGCAGGTGGACTGGAAGAGCAGGATCTGCCTACCTGTGTGCTGAGTATGGTGAATGAAGGTTTGTCTTGAGGGATAAAATAAAACTGCAGGGTTTTCCAGCAATGCTGTGGCACTGGCACAGGACTCAGTTAAAGTGGAAACTCAGAATTGAAGTGTCACCTGTGGTCTTTGTTCTCTGCCCACAGGATGTGTCCTGAAGCCACTCAGCTGTGACTGGCCAATTGGTTCATGGGGTTATAATGTTTGAATTGAAGTGCTGCTGAAAGGAAGCAATGACATGGTTAACTTTTTTTACCTTTATTTTTTCCCCCCAGAGCTATGGAGAACTTGGTAACTGGCTCCAATCTTCCTCCACTTTTTACTGATGAGGATGGACCTAAGGAAGGTAGTGAAATTAATGTAACTGGGTAAGCCACTCCTTTTTCACCTTCAGCTGCTAGATACCATCTCTGCACTTGTCAGGAAATTGTTTCAGTGGGAACAGGGCATTCTAAGGAATTTTTAAAAAGAGAAATAAAGCCAACAGAATTCAATCTTGCAACGTTCCCTCGACCTTGATAGAAGATCACAGGACTGTGTTTAGGAGAAACCAGAACTCTTCTGAACTGATGGAAGTGGTCACAAGCTGTTCTTTAGTATCCCTTAGCTTTAAAAGGCAGATCCCTAGCATTTCAGTCTTGGCACAAGTGACATTAAGGGGACACAGAGGAAGTATCTGTTGGCCATTGTGGTCCCTGCTAAGTGATTTCAATTAAAGATATACTTGTTCATCAGTGATCTCTGAAACTGATACCTCATTTTTGTCAGTCCAACTCTGCTTTTACAAACTGCAACAATGGCCTCTTAAAATCACAATGCCAAGAGAAGTTTTCTTTTAAGAATACATGGAATCTTTGCTATGTTTTGATAATTGAAGATTTTTTTCTGTTTTGCAAAGCACCAAACAGTAAAATTCAGACTTTGCAGTCAGGTAAAGCTCTGTAAAAACCAATGTGAACACTTGCACTTCAAATGAGTCTGAATTTGGATTTACTTATCTGGGATTTCAAACTTGTTGGTGCCAAATTAGGTCCATATTCAATTGAGGCTTGTATTTAAAAGGTATTAATGTTTGGCTGAGCTTTCATCAGTGTTTGCTGCAAAAGGCTGCATCACATGAAATTTTTCCTGTAGCTGTAGTTGAAAGAGCTTCTCTGCTAAGGGGGAATGGAGAGGAAAACTGAAAGACTCTTCAAACTCTAACAGTGAATCCAGAGCTGTGTTGTTCCTATTCTTTTTGACACATACCAAATATAATTAACTTAGGGGAGGGTGTCTGCTTTGTTCCCCTGCTCCCTCTCTAATTGTCAGTAATATGAGCTCAATCTGGTGTCTCAAAGTCAGCCATGGATCTCTCCAGCCCTTTTGTTTTTACCAGTAATTATGTCACAATTGCTGATTGTAGCAAGTAATGGAAATATGCTGTTCTCTCTGAAGACAGATACTCCCATGGGCATTCAAATAGCAATTCTGTTAATATGTATCAAATTTTTATAGCTGTATTCTACATCAATAGGAACAGTTATTTTGAATATTTCAAATTTGCCATAGACATGAGTAGCTTTAGACTGGAATAAATTAGCAAAGGAGACTTGAAGCATTCCCTGCTGCTAAAGGAATTTTCATGAATGTAACTGGCTAAGGCCAAGTATTCTTTAGCCTCAAGAAGGGTTTAGAATCTGAGTCCAAAAATCTTATATTAATTTGCCTACTGAACACAGTGCTGAGAATGTCCAGGAGGCTGCTGCCCCCAAATGAGTGTTCATCATTGTCAGTCTACCTTCAGAAGTATTTCTGCACTCTTGCTCTTCTTTTTTGCCTGCAGACATCTTGCTGTTTTTTAGAGCAAGGTAGATTGATACAACTCCTGCAGCAAAATTAAATAATGGCAATTCTGGAGCCTGTTGGGACCTAGTCATGTTTGTGTTTAAATACCCACATGTATGAACAGGAGATTGTATGGAATGAAGTTCAATCCGAGATCATACACAGTCACAGACCTCTAAATGTATTTGTGGAGAAATACATTAAACACATCCAGAAAGGTGTATCTTGGTTGATGATGAAACTTTTAATTTCAAATTCCTTCTGGTACTTTTGAAGAAGGGTAGATTCACACTGTCTAGTTTCTGATCCAAATGTACACTTGCCTGCACGTTCTTTGTGTAATCAAATGCTTCACTGAAAATGAAACAAAATGCCACTTCAAAAATCAAACTGGGTCTGAAGGTCCATAGGAACTGTGGTAGTTACAGTGGTTGCTTGGATGGAACAGCCAGTTCTTCAAAAATCACTTTTAAATCCCATCTTTTCTTGCTAGTGTGAGAATGAATATATTTGCAATATTTTTGCATGTTTTAGAAGATTAGGGAGGAAATGATTTAGCAATGATGATTAAATTTTTTGTTCTCCACTTCTGTGCTTTTTCAGATTAGCTAATTCGGAGAGTTCATTCAGTGGTGGAACTTCACAGCCTGTGAATAACCCAGATTTGGTGGAAGACTTGTCACAGGCTCAGCAGCAGCAAAATGAGTCTTCTAATGCTGCTGAAACCACTGAGCAGAAGCCTGAGGAGGAGGTGAGATGAAATAATAGTAACTTTTCAATGAAGCAAAGGCAAGGAATTTTGTCATTATATTATCTTACATGGTCAGATTTACTCTTTTAATAGGATCACAAATTTTTATCCATTTGCCATTTTCATCTTCTGATTCCCTGATTTTCTGCTGTGTTGCATGTCTGCACACAGATAGCTGGCAGTTGGAATATACAGAGAGCAGCACATGGGTCTCAGCCAGAGGGGCCCACAAGCTGGTGCTGCATTCAGGACTGAATGTTCAGCTGCCACAGCTTATTTTCTTTCTTGTGAGCCAGCAAGTGAGACCATTGTACTGTTCTGGTAGTAACTGATGTCTTTAAAACCATTATGTTTTCACTACTTTAGACTATACCTTGTGTGCCATCCAACACTGATTTTTGGTGATTAAATCATGAAGGACCTGAAGTTGGACTAGGAAGTGGTTTTGAGGTTTTCTGTTGTTTTGTTTTTGGTTTTTTTTAGTAGATGTATTTGATATTCCTCCTGGTAGTTTGTTTTCAGCTGTGAGGTCCTTTTTTAATTAAGTAATAAAATTCCAGGAGGGAAACAAAAAGTAACATGATGGCAGGACCATGTTGATCTGGGGAAAGCTTAGAAGTACTGAATATTGTTATATGTACATAGCATTGGAAAACAGTGTTGTCAGAGATTGCTGTAGAAATAGTTTGAAGCCAAGAGGATGAGTGATAATGATGTTATTCCTGTGAACTCACAGTGTGCCCCAGACACATTTACAATATTCCCTCCTTTGGAGTTTGTTTGTTGCTCTGTTGGAGGTAATTAGTGGGACAGACAATCTACTGAACAGATGAGAATAGAAAAGCCTGTATACTGTCTTTACACCCACTTTTTTGGCACATTGTGCATGAAGGACAAAGATCTGGAAGGTGCAGAATAACTAATTATCAATTATTAACTTAGACACAAAATCTCCCCAAAAAATCTATGGAAGTAAATGACTTGCAGGGGAGGGTATGTGAGTGTGGGAATAACTAAAACCAAGCAAACAAGTAATAAAAAAATATTTGCAGTTGCATTAGTTGAGGTGATCATGCTGTGGATCATCAGTCCCTGTGATTTGACAGTCAGAGGCTGATGTTATTTTGTTGTCCCTGTGGACTAGGAGAAACTGTAAGCTACTTTCCACAATGAGACTTTATTGGCTTTGTTTAGACAGAAGTGAGGATAGCTGTAAAGTAGGGTTTGAAACCTGCATCCATGGAGAGAATCACAGCCACGTGCTCCTGATGGAGTTGTTTATTCCTTGCAGAGGTGATTATTTTCACACAATCTGAATTGCCTTGTGTTTTCACTTTGCAGCAGCAAAGAACCAAGCGAGGAGGTTGGGCCAAAGGCAGAAAGAGGAAGAAACCACTGCGGGACAGCAATGCCCCCAAATCGCCCCTCACGGGCTACGTGCGGTTCATGAACGAGCGCAGGGAGCAGCTGCGGGCCAAGAGGCCCGAAGTGCCTTTCCCAGAGATCACCAGGATGCTGGGCAACGAGTGGAGCAAGCTGCCCCCTGAGGAGAAAAGGGTACCACTGCATTCCTGTCCTTGCTGCATGGGATTGCTCCTACGTGGGTGTGGTGTTTAGTGAGGAAGGTGACCAGCTTTTGGTTGAAACCGTGTTTAGGAGGATGTTTCAAAATGAGGGGCTCAGGTTCACGTGATGAAGCCTGGCAGGGCCACAGCATCTCCTCCAGGGGTGACTTGAGGAGAGCTGCATCCTCTAGGTAATGCAAGAATACATCCAGAATGGGGGAGTTGTCTAATGAGACATCCCATAGTTTGTGTGCTCCATCTGGATGTAACTCTGCTGTACCAACTCAGATACATCTGAGACTTGTAAGGCCAAAGTCTTGGGATGTGATGGCTCCTAACTGGGGGTCCTGTGGCCTTCTGCACTATTTGATAAGTGAATGAAGCTCAAGGCCACATTTGGGCTGTTTTTTAGGGTCTTCTGGGGTGGACCTTGTTAATGAGTTCGTTGCTAATGGGTGTCCAACTGTCCACACCTGATTGCCAGTTGGAGATTACTGCAAAGCAGTTCTTAAATCCCAGTGCAACTGAATGCTCTCATATGAATTTAATCTTCATATTTGAACTCTGAAAAATACTTTAAGGGTGTAATGAAAGATGAGATAGAAAAAACAAGATTTCCTGTTGTTGCTTTTTTACTAAGCCTGTAGAATACAACTTACAGAGATGATATAAAATGGTTCATAGGCACTGTGATTTAACCATAATGGAAAGTATATGGCAAGGCAAGGCAGTTGATTTGATAGCAGGGATAGTTAGAATTATGTTGCTTAGAGAAAAGTCAGGATTGCTCCTATGTAAGGCTGGAAATTTATATCCATGGAGGGCATGTCTTGTGGTGACAAAAATGTCTACTGAGAGAGAAGGGAAAAAGATATCTCCCCCTATGTCCCTTGCACTTTCATGTATTCTTATCGTGTGTGAGGCAGATTTTTAACCTAGGAAAAAGGAAATTGAGTTCAAATCTCTATTCTGTATGCTGCTTTTTAAATCCCTGAGGAATCTGTCCTTGAGTAAAGCTGTAAGTTTCTAACTCACAGCAGGTCAAGGGAAGACTGCTGAGCCCTTTTAGCAACACATTGCTGGAGATGGAAAAAGAGAATTAATATCTTAGAGACCAATAACATGTCCAAAAGCAATGCCAACCCAGCCTCACCAATTTGCACCCCAATCCAGAATGTTATCACTGCCATCAGCAGGGTCAAAACTGTGTTGCAAATGTGCAGAAATCATTACTTATATGTATTGTCATCATGACAATTTTTTAAAGAAAATACCGGGTGACTAAGGTTCACTGATTGAATTCGTACATTCATTGTGTTTTAAACTCATTTGGAAAAAAAATTGGGAAGGCAACTTTTCCCTTGAATGGATCCTATTAGTAAGCATTGTGACCATTCATTAAATGTTTTTCAGTTCATCAGTTCCCCTAAAGAATTCTCCAGCTAAGCTTATTCTCTCATGCAGATGTGTGAAATACCTACCCTCAGGCTAATAAAAAAAGGTTTCTATTAACCAAAGTGCAATGAGATTATGTCAATTGAAAAAAAGTTTATATTAACCAAAATGCAGAGAGATTATATCAATTTAAACCAGGCTCTTTTATCTTTACACTGCTCTTTGCACTACCATGATGTTTTGTTCCCCTCTCAGATGTGCCAAGTGTGTGGTGCTGCTTTTTGTCTGTGGGGCATGAAAACAGGAGTGCATTTGGAACTCCACTGTTAGTCTGAACCATAAAGCATCATCTGATAAGATGTTATTGCTCACCAGCACTTCATCCTGGCCACAGAACAGGAATTCTCAAGTGCTTGGTCTGTAATGTGTAGGTAACATTCAGCTGAGTAGAGTAGCTTAGTAGCAAGTTACTCCTAGGCCTAGTAAAAAAAAACAAACAGAAGAGTTATCATAAAAAAGAGAGAGAAAATGGGACACCAGAGTGCAGTAATTTCATCCAGAGATCTTATTCCTTTGCACCTCATTGTTTCTTCACTCTTCTCCTGTTTGTGTAGGTGAAATGGATCTGCACTTCATCTGACAAGTTGTTTTTCTTCCCTTCCTCCCGAAGGGGAGGAAACTCCCTGAAACTCTTGGACTTTTTTTGTTTCAGCGATACCTGGATGAAGCAGACAGAGATAAGGAGCGTTACATGAGGGAGCTGGAGCAGTATCAGAAGACTGAAGCCTACAAAGTCTTTAGCAGGAAGGCACAGGACAGACAAAAAGGCAAATCACACAGACAAGGTATTGAATGGGACAAAAATATGTGCCTAGCTAGAACAATAGAAGATTCCCAGTCAGTCTGGTAGCCTGACACTCCTTTAAAGCCTTAGATTTAAAGGCTGGTTAAAAAGTGAAAGTGTTCTTTCTATGGCATTTACCTCAGCTGTGTGTAAGGGGAATTAGGCTTGAGAGAATGTAACTGTGTCTAGATTGTGTTGGAGGATATGCTTTCAGAGCATCAAAGTTAGACTCAGCTTCTCTGTGACTTTGTAGGAGAGCTGCACAAGCATGTCTAGCATTGTTGTGTAATTAGGGTTGTGTAACTGCCTTAATTCTTTGGTTCTTGTTCTCTTAAACTTTGTTTATTTTGAGAGACTTCTTGTTTGTTTTCTTTTTCAGATGGAGCAAGACAGCCAGCTCATGATCACGAGGTAAACCTCTTAATTCTGCATTTACAGCAGTGGGTAGACTTTCAGGTGAAAAAAAGCTTTTCAGGTGAAGTCAAAACCCAGTTTATCAGAACTTGAGTGTGAATTCTTCCTAATGAAGGTTTTGAAAAGTTAGAAACGACTGAGTATTCTGACACTCGTTGGTATGACAAAACTAAATTTGCTAAGTCTTGGGCAGGTACAAATGATAGATGAAATGGAACATAAGGTACACTTAAAACATAAGTCTGTTTTGTAATGCCATGTTAGGAACTTAAAAATAGTGTGAGACCTCAATAAACCTGCCAAGTTAGCAGCTTTAGGTGCTGCTTTCAGGTACTGATTTTTTGCAGTAACACAAATGCTTGTGGCTTCCTTGAGAAGGAAATGGGTAAAGCAACCAAATAATTGGAATATCTCTGGCTTAAAGCTCCTCTTGCCTTCCTTTGCCCTTTGCATGTGTAAATATTGGAGAAGAGTGATAATGTGTGGAGATAGAGCTCATCAACTGCAGCACAGGCATCTTACCACAAATCTTGTGTGTTCTGGCTGACTGTGCTTTCCCTCTCCTTGGAACACAGCAGCTTTCTCCAGTTGTATTACCTAGGGCCACAGAGCTTCTTTCATGGTTACCAGTGAATTGCAAACAAAGAGCAGTGAAAAAAATCTTGCTTATACACAGGCTCTTCACTTGTAAGCAATAGGGCTTTCTGAAAGATCTGTTTTTCTTTGTGAGGTTTTTTTGCCTTGGGGAAGCAATCCAGTTGGCTTCTAATGTGTTCATTACAATAGTGACAAGGCTGAGCACTGCTGAGAGGCAGCTACTGGTCTTGAAGGAAAGTAAGGTTCACTTTCAGGAAAATGTATTGGTAGCATGTTTTTTATATGTCTTTTATTAACTCCTGAAGGAAGTGCTTGCAGTGAGATTATCTATTAGAAGTACATAGTGCCTAACTTTTCTGATTTTACAGTCACTGAGTCCAAGTTTGTCTTTGATTGTATAAAAACTGAAGGCTTCAAGTTCTAGGTTGGCTGTGACTGTTACATAACATTTAAGTTATACAGGTGGCAAATGACACATTTGGAGTCTTCCTTCTTACCCCTCCAGTTCAAGCTATCATTGCTGATCTTTTACATGATAAATGCAGTCAAAAATGAGTTCTCACCCTGTGGGACACATAAGGTTCATCAGATACAGCTGAACATCAACCTGTCAGTCAGACATCCTACTCTGAACTGTGCCTTTGACTTGGTGTTTTTCACCTTTATATTTATAAAATCCCACACGCTTATCACCTGATGTACTTTCACATCTTCTGTGCAGGGATGTCAAGTATTATAATCCTGTATAGGTGGGGAATAAGCAGGAAAAAACTTAGATTGCTTTTACAAGTGTCTGCTCAAGTTGTTTCTGAAAGTGAAGCTAAAGCTTTTTGTCATCTTGCTGCTTTCTCCTGTCCACACTGACTCTTGTTGCTGTGTTTGTGATTAGCAGGTACAAGCTAATGAAATTATTTCTTGAGGGAATATAAAGGAATAAGGTCAATGAAAGCTTTTTTTCTTTCCCTTGCTCCACTTCAGCTTTTATGATATAGTTTCTGTGAGTTAGTGTGTATTGTACATAGAGCTGACCTCTAAAGAGTTTCATGATTGGCAATTCAAGTACTGAGTATAATAAAATTTAACTAGAGGATGAGAGAGAACTTTTAATAGATATTGCCTTGAAAAACATGCACACACAGTCTCCTGAGCTCAGTGATGGGCGTGAATAGAACATTTATTTCCTCAAGCTGCTTGGTTCCAAGTAGGTCTGGCATCATTCACTCAGTTACACTTGCTACTGGAAAGCTTTCCAAGGTTTGTGCACACAGGTTGAGGAGAGCAGGGGTTGCCTTGTGGTACCTACTCTGAGAGATTTAATGGAGCTGTACATTTATTATATCTGTTCCTTCCACTGTCTGCAGCCTCACTGTGGCAGGGAGGGCGAGCTTAAACCCTCCAAAATCTCAACTATCTCATTACCATACTTCACCAAGTCTCTAAGAGCTTCAAGTGTGATTCGTTGCTGAATCTTCAAAGTTCAAACTCAATTTTAATAACCAGATGAGATTGTTGACTCTTGAAGTGTCTCTAAGGCAAATGATAGAAACAATTTTGATTCTCTTTTGGTTTGAGGGATGACTAAATGATACATGAACTGAACAGACTGGGTCCTTTTCAATGGGAGGTAATCAAAGCCTTAGGATTTTAATCTTCAGTGAACCTCAGAGTGGCTTAAGTACTTCAGGGTTCTCAAGAGGATCTTTTATGTGCTGGGTAATGTATTTTGTAATGGGAGAGTGCTGATGGTTCTAATGATCACTCTTCTGCTTAGTAGAATTTCTTGCCTTTTGGAAGCTGGACATTTACATTTAAAGCCTTAATATTTTTTGGTTTGTACCTGAAGAACCTGTATCTTAGGGCTGCAAAGAGAATACCTTCTTCTCTTTGCAGTATTCTCTCCTCCACCATCCACTCTGTAGGAGCCAGTGATGATCCAAGCCAGTGGCTCTTTGCACACAGGTACTAATAGTGAGCATGAATTAGAATGTTTAAGGTGGATGTTCTGTAAGTGTTTTAAACAAGCTTCATAACTGCCACCATTTCTCAGTGCACATTAATGTTGAGATCCTAGATTTTGGGATGAAATTAATTCTTAGCCATCTGGGCAGTGCTCAGACAAAATGAATGCATTGTTCACACCTCTGTGTATGACTTCTCTTTCTAAATATACTCTTGAGACATTTGCCCTGTAGCAGCACATACAGAAAACTTCAGTGAAAAGCACGTTTGGTCACAGACCCCAGATAAATCCTACTGTGCCTCACAGGGCTGGGAAGAGTTGCCCTTCCCTCCAGTCTTGCCTGTTTCTGGTGTGTCTCCAGTTGATTCAGGCCAAGTGAGGTTTGAGTTCTCACTCAGTAAATACAGAGCTCCTCAGCTGTAATTGTGGCAGACAGTAAAAGCCAGCTTATCTTTAAAAGCAGTCAATGGGCAGGCTGTCTCCTTAGGGAAAGACAGAGTGGCTGTAGTTCCATCTAGCCTTGGCTGTCAGGTGGCATTCAGGTCACCTTCAGGTCACCCCATGGACCCCTGTGTGGGGCAGACACACCGTGATGCTCTGAGCTCAGGGGCCACAATTCCCTTCTCAGCTGGCACACATTGAGGTTGGCTGCCAGAGGACACCAGTCCTGTGTACCCCTGCAATTCTGGAGGATGAGTTTGTGGCACATTAGCAGCCACGGTGTTTGAGAGTTGGGGAAAGCTTTTGTTCTCCACAGACACTCCTTCCTGCTTTACTTTGTTTCTGTGTTAAGTTACAGGTTGATTGTAGTCGCTGCAGTTTATCAAACCAAATTTGCATTGGCTTTGTCCATAATGATTCAGGTGCTAGAACAAGCATTAATTCCTGTTCATCTAGAAGTGGTAACTGAAGATTGTTATAGTAGAGGGTGTTTGCCTTGAGTCAAATCACGTTTTGTACAGTTTTTTTGACTAAGTTGTGGAGCATTTCCTGATTATAAAGTGTTTTTTGCTTTGGTGGTGAAAGGCCAAGAGCCATGAAACTTACTGTGCATTTTGCTCACTCTGTCTCCTGCTTGTTGATATTCCTGTAAAGACTATTTCAGAATGTGTGAGTTGGTTGATGATGGAAAATATAAATGCATTCAGATAGTTTTAAAAACAGAATAATTCTCATGTATAATTCCATTAGGGTGAAAGATTGTATTTTAGTATGTTGTATGTAATTTCTTAATGAAGATGTTGATTAAACCTATATCTTGAAAATCTAAGACAGATCCTTTGACTTTTCTTGGTAGGAGCTGGAAGTGTCTTTAATCCATACAGCTTTTAGCTGCCTCAGGTTTTGGTCCCCTTGGCCTTTTATTCTCATGATCAAAACAGTTAAATGAATTCCTGAAAACAAATTATTTAACTATGTTATTACACTTTCTGTTGTAGAAAGAAGCAGATACAAAGGAGAGATCTGTCTTTGATATTCCAATCTTCACAGAAGAGTTCCTGAATCATAGTAAAGGTAAGTTTAACTTTTGCAAGACCCTTTTTTCCATGCTTTTCCAAAGTTCTTGGCAAATGCTGTCCAGCTGAAGAGTCCTTGCACTCTTCCATCTCAGCTCAAGTAAACTATACTTAGGTATAGTTTACTATACTATACTTAGTTTATAAAATTTATAAACTATACTTAAGTATAGTTTCTGCTATTATCGTACCTCTGTATATACACAAGGGCTGAAAAGCAGTTTTTCCTGGCATTGTCTTCCCAAATTAGCCTTTTTTGAGAATATTTCTGATGTTTATTCCAGCCAGTCCAAGCTGTGTAGGACTAAGAAATATCGAAGATGTATACTGATGTTGATTCAGGCTGGTTAGCAGTATTTTATTTCCCCCCATATGGGGAAGATTACACTGATATATTTTCTGTTACACTGTTTGGTTTTCATATCTATGTGTCTCAAGAGTTGAGTATTTTTTGCCAGATTTCTTGAAGACTTTCTTGACTGAACAGAATTTAGATTCAGATACTTTTCATGGTCAATAGAAAATTATTTTTGTAACTGGTGTTTTATTTGCAGGATTCTTAGCACTGCTGCTAAACTTTGTCATTCTGATTGCATTTGAAATCAGTCTTGCAGTCTTCCTCCCTGATCAATTCCCCCATTCACTTCCATCCTGATGCTTTGAATGTTTTCCGATTTCTCTCTCTCTAGGAATAATCTCTATTGAAAAGTGCTACTGTATGTTGGTGCTGTTGTCACTCTATGTAGTGATATTTTTAATCTATAAACCACACCTGCACCATTGAGTTGAGCACTCCAGAACATTCTTGTTCGTTGCCTGCCAGTCCTAGCGATGTTTTCAGCACTGTTGTGACTCTCTGGGGGTCGATGTTCACAGCACGCGAGGCGGAGCTGCGGCAGCTGCGCAAATCCAACATGGAGTTTGAGGAGAGGAACGCCGCGCTGCAGAAGCACGTGGAGAGCATGCGCACGGCCGTGGAGAAACTGGAGGTGGACGTGATCCAGGAGCGCAGCCGCAACACCGTGCTGCAGCAGCACCTGGACACCCTGCGGCAGGCGCTCACCAGCAGCTTCGCCGCCGTCCCGCTGCCAGGTGAGAGCAGCAGATGGAACTGCTCCTGTTGGTGATGTCGTGAGCTCACAACACGTGGGCTGCTCTTGAGCTTCTCTGTTCTTGGTGTTTCTGAACTTCTGTTGCATGGGATCATGAAATACGAAGATGCATGTAGGGGAAAGTTAGAGTCAGTGCTTTATTTCAACATGACATTTATTTTCTTACTGCTCTTACTCATCCTGATAAAGTGAGACACATATTCAGTCCCAGCTTTCTTTAACTTGTTTTATGAAAATGTTACTAAGTAGAATAGACAGGACTTGCAAGTTCCTTGATTAAAATAAAGGCTGTGTCTGTATTGTCAGCTGCCAGGGAGCCCACTTAGATTCTATGAATGGCCAGCAGAAAGAGTTTGTTATAATCAGCTATGAGACCCAAATCAAAGAGAACCATGCTTCGTTAGCCCTGATATCCTTGGAACTACTCACTTTGTGGATTGTTTAGCAGAATCTGTCACAAGAGGTGCTGCATAGCAAAATCTCCTCCTATAGCAGTTTGTGCGTTGGCACAAATTACCTTTAGCATAGTGTTAACTCTTTTGAATTGCTGTGGTCATCACAATACCTTGTGGCTCATTTCCCTGTGCTTACTGTAGGCAGTGGGGAAACCCCCACGATGGAAACCATTGATTCCTACATGAACAGACTGCACAGTATTATCCTGGCCAACCCACAGGAGAACGAGAACCTCATCGCCACGGTGCGGGACGTGGTGAACAGGCTGGAGCGTTAGTGATGGGGTAAGTGTTCTCTCCCAGGCTGCTCTTGGGGTCTGCTCCATGCCTCTGGCACCTTTTCTGCTGCTGATTCCTGTGCTGATCACCATATTGTACAATCAAAAAGGTTTCTTCCTCAAAGCTGCAGGAACAGGTTGTCTTAATGAAAGTCAAATTGAGTTGAAAGTATTCCACAGCATTAAAGGGCTCTGAAATTCCCTTTAGCTGCAAGATCTTTATGTATTTGTATAAGGTGAGTAAGAGTTCTGACAGAATGGTAACAGGGTGACTAATTTAGAAGAAGGTTCCTTTCTTGAGTGAAGCAAATCTGAGGATTTCAGCAGTAATTGTAGAAACTGATGGCCACGGGGAAATTCTGTTTGTCTCAAGAGGTTACAGGGTAAGTCAATTCTATTGTAAACTGAAAATACTCTGCCTCTCCTCTGTAGCACCTGTAGTCAAGCTGTTCTAATGAGGAAGGTTTAGATGCAAATGGAGCACTGAGGTATGGTTTAAGCTGTACATAGCATTTGCTGAGACTAATGTTTATGTGGCTTGTGTGTAGATTATTATTGAGTTCATGATTTTGTATTTTTGCTGCTGTTTAACAGCTTAGAAAACTGTAATAGAGAACAGAGTATAAAAACAAATTAACAAAGAACTAAATACCAGTCTTTCTGCCTTACTGTGCTGCTTTGCATTTCCCACACCTCTCACTCCCCCACTTCCCCATGATGCACATCACTAGGCAGCCATGAGGAGTTTGCCTATTTCTGTTTTAACAAAGTACATACCTTCATTCTTTAGGCATTTATTATGTAGAGATCTACTGTACATGTCTTGAATAGTGTTTAGAAATGCAAATAAAGCTGCCTTGTGCCATCTGCAAATATGAAGACAGGGCTTTTCATCCTTTCTGATTCTGACCTTTTGTGGTGCTGTGTAGAACAGTTAATTACACATTTCCCATTATAGTGTGGCTTTAGCTGGGAGATCATTGTCCTTCCAGAGGGTAGCCAGATGGAACGGACTGTAGTTCTAAGAGATGACTGAGCTCCCAGCAGAATAAAGAAGTGCCTTTACTGCTGCTATTTGTGAAGGGAACAGCTTGTTGATCCAGGTCTGGGATTTTTCAGCAGCTCATCAACCTCCTCCTTTTTGTGTACTGTTTTCAATTAGTTCTCAGGCTCAGAAAGGGAATTGGGAGGGGAGGTTTTACAGAGGGACTAAGGGAAAGCAGTTTCTCATCCATCAGGTATTAGAAGGCTATGCCAGGCCCAGAAATGGGTATTTGTCCTTTAAGTACCTTGCTAGAGAAATCATATCTCAAAGCTACTAAAATCTAGACTTTCATTCTCTTGTCAAGTGGCTTCTCTTTCCTGAAGGATGGACAATTTCTGTGTTCCTAAACATACTGATGCAATGTTCTTGGATAACCTGGTTTTGGATGTAATTGATTTAGAAAAAGTAATTCTTGCTTTAAAAGTCTTCCTTCTAACCTCTATTTGAAAAATAGTACTCCTTTCCCTTCTTTCCTTTTCCAACCAATGCCTTCCCTCTTTTCAGCAGCAAAACAGTGTGAGGCAATTAAAAATGTGATTAATAATCACATAGTTTCACTGGATAATGACATGCATGTAACTGAATATAATGATGAAGTAATTAATGGGACTGTTAATTACACTGACTTTCACTTGGCAATGGTGATATTTTGGGACAAAATTTTGGAAGGAAGAAGATTGGGCTTTGTTGGATGCAAACCTTGAAAATGGTAGATTCCCTAGAAAACAAGGAAGCTTTGGATAAAAGATTCAGCTGGCACATGATAAACTGTATCACCAAACTGGCATCATCAGTGTCCCTTTGATGTGCATATGAAGTTTATTAATTCTGAATGTAATCTCTGTCAACCAAGTGGTCTGTTTGAGGTTGAGACACATCACAAATCAATAGCACAGAAAACTCTGCCGTGATGCTCCTGAAAATAACTTTTTCACAGATCTGAGGTGGGTTTTGGTGGCTTAGTACATTGTGTTCAGGGACTGTTGGACTATAATGGTGAATATTTTGGTTTTTCTGTGCTGCATGATAAAAACTTCTTTGTGCAGTGTATGGGAAGAAGAGGAAGAGTTTTGTTCTTTAGCACTGGGTGGAAACAGCAGCTCAGTTTGGTTGTGCCTCTAGAGGCTGCTTTGCTATACTGAATGTTGTGTTTTCACATGAAACCTCCAAAATCCCATGTCACAGTGCCTGTTTAGTCCTGGCACATTGGAGTCTTCTAACCCTTATTTTTCTGTTTCATCTGCAGGTCTCGTGACCCGGGGAAGCTTTACAAAATTTTTTTGGCCAGTGTGGAATAAGAAGCCATGAGGGAAAGCCTGGGGTGGGAGGCAGGATGGCAGGTTTGTCCTGGGCCCTGCCTGTGTGTTCTGTCAGGGAGACAAACAGATCAATGCATTAAGAGATCTTAAGAAGCCACGGACACCGCCCACTAAACAATTGGAACTGTCCTCTGTGTGAACATTTAAGAGCATGCAACTTTTGTGCAATCGACATTTTTAAAATGGATTTTGCTGGGTGTGAGGGTGCCTGCGTTCTGTGGACTGGCTGACTGTGGAGATGAAATCTCACCTCGTGAAATGGAGTCAGCGTATATGTTGTAGTAATAACTTTGATGTGTTCTATTGCCTAATGTCTTCTAGTGTCTTTTATTTTGTTTTCATGTTTATCCTGTGAGCTTACCTTCCTTCACTTGAGTTCTTTTCTTTTGATCTTGTTCCCTGATTCTTGCAGTACTGGATAGCAGCGCTTGTGTTCTCTGCTCTAGCAGGGAGTTTTCCTTGGTGCACTGTCTTGTCCTGTGCCTCCTGCTATGTTTATAGGAGCTTTTCTTAAGCAGAATCCTGGGGTTTTTTTGTGTTTAGCCTGAAGTTCCTACAATGTGAGTTTGCTCCCTGCTAGAGACTGGCTGTGGTTGATGCTTTGTGACTTGATTCTACTATGAGACAGACTTCCTCTCTCCCCTCTCTTCAGGCACCTCTCTTGCACATTGCATCCTGCTCTTCTCTGGAGGTCTCCTGTTATCTCTTGGAAACATTTGCTAGAGCATTTTGCTATCACTAAGATCAGTGGAAATCAAGATAGAAAGTGAAACATTATTCTCCTCAGAGAAAATGGGATTCTTTGGTTTAGACTAAACCCACAGAGCTTTCCCTTCCTCTGATACATTGTTCAGTCTAATTTAATGTTATTGCCTTGTTTTTGGGAGAATGATCTCATGGGGAAAGCAGTTTTCTATAAAAAGAGAAACGGGCACGGGGATTGCATTTTTTCCTCTCCCTGCCCTCCTGAAATTGCTGTGCTGGGAAGCAATGTGTCTGGAAGCAGCACATACATTTTTGCATGAATTATTAGAGCAGAGAAGGTTATTAGTAACTAGATCCACGTAGCAGCCCACAGAACTCAGCATTACAGCTTGTTTCTGCTCTCACCTTTTGTTCAGTTCAAGTACTGCCCATGGAGCCCATAGCATTCAACATTTTATGTTCCAGCCGACCTAAATGGCCTTTCACTTGCATTGAATAGAGCTCTGCATGTTTGAGTCAGATGTTGCTGAGCCACACCACACCTCCTGGCAGAGCTGAGGCACCCAATGTCTGTGCTGGCTTATGCAAAACTTTCACTGCCCTTTGGTTCCTGTCAAATTGTTGATTCTGACTTTGGCTCAGCACTTGTTGGACATCTCTGGGCTTTATGGGGGTGGGAGCTCTTGCTCTCACATGACAATCTTTTTGCTCCTGCTTAAGACATCTGTTAAGATTCCCTGTTAGGAATTGGAGGTTGCTTTCATTACTGGAGTGTGTTGCTGTCAGCATCACTTTAATGTACCCAGGAGACAAATATTTTGTAGATTAAAAAGCAGTTTTTTCTTTTCCTGTATTGTACACATGGACTTCATGCTGGCCTGGAGCCATCTTCAGGTCAGCACCTTGTATGCCAGGTCTCAGCTTAGTCCTGGGGTTATTGCTGTAGCCAAGTAGCAAGGATTTCCATGGAAATCAAGTCTTCCTTCAGGGAGGAAACTCCTTTCTCTTGTTACCTGTTTTGCTTTCAAGACTTCACAAAAAGGAACCTCAGTTTGCTGCATTGACTTCCACTCTCCTTAGCATGGATGAGACCAGCTGATGCTGCCATGAACTTTTTTAGTGGGTTCTGTAATGAATGTTGGAAATCCTAGGGGTCGTTAATGCCTCCAAAAGAAGCACCTACACCTTCATCTCCTGTTTGTATCTTGGTTTTTCAGAACTGGTGATGTTTGACTCTCTGTTGAAGTGGCCAAAATGCACTGCATAGCCAAAACTGATTTACAGATCCTGAAGGTCTGTCTGTGGCATCCTATCTAATAGCTGGAGCTGTAAAGACTCCAGAAATTCCATGTAATGTGGGATGCAGTTGCAGGCTGTAACATCTCCAATCCATCAGTAAGGTCAGATGGCTTTGGGCTGCCCTGCTTACAGAAATCTGCTCGTGGATACTGCTCATCCATCTCTGCTGAGAAGCATGCAAGTGTTGTGGGATAGGAAATTTAAGGTGATATTATTAGCTGGGGGCTGACAAATCTCTTGCATTTTCCCACAAGGAAGGAGGTGGGGTGGATTATCTATCTTGAAGCATCTGGGGGAAAACTGAGTTCTTGCTCACTGATGGTGTGACAGATGATGTTTTGTCTCATTAAGAAGCTTCTTATTTATGTTGATTAACCCTATAAAAATGGATTTTGTCTTTCCAGTGTTTTCAGAGTGTCACTTCAGTTTACAGTTTTCAGTGTTGACTGATTAAAAAAAAATGAAGTGGGTGTCAAGGAGAAGAGTGGAATAAAATGCTTTTGTCACTTAAAGAAATGTTAAGAGAAATATATGAAAGCAGAATCCATTTGCTGGATTAACGTGTTTGGAATTGTTTAAATGCCAAGTTTTCTGTACAATGTTTTTGTAATTAAACTTTGGAGCTCCTTGGTTTTTAAGAGGTTGATGTGCTTGTTTGACACTGCTTCATTAAAATTGTTCAACGGTGAATCCATTCTGATTCAATTTTAACTGCATTTTCATGAAAGAGCTATTACTACATTGATCTCTTGTCAGAGATTTTGGCAACTCCACGTTAACCTTTGAACAGAAATGTGCCTCTTCCACCTCTCCATCCTAAGTGTCTTCCTCTGAAAAAGCTAAAGGAATTTAGGTTATTACTTATAGTGGTGAAAGCTTCAGAGTCTTTGGTTATAGCTAATGGTTGTCAGGGCCCTTCCCCAACTTGATTAACTTTAAAAATGTCATATCTCTCACTCAGCCCTTTTGTTCCATCCTTGTCTTCCTTTATCCTCCCTTATTTCCCACCATCATAGTGATTTTCTTTAAGAACCTTCTGTATCATAACTATTGCTCCTCACTTGATTTTCTTTTCCCCTACTAGATTTTTATCCTCTCTTTACTCCCTGCTGGCTGAGAATGGAGCAAATGTAGTCTCATGACATTTGTACTTGGTGTAGGTGCTCTGTGGAGGAGTTTGGGTGACTTCTGCCTCTACTGATGCTCTTTCTGAGGCCACAGTGCTGTGAGCAGCCATGTCTTTGTTAATTTTGTGGTCATATCTCAATATTTTCATTGCCAGATTAATGCCTGGTCTGTCTGTACCAACAGGCTTGGTACTGTCTTCTTCCTGGGACAGACTATATTGAGATTTAGAATACTTTGGAAATTTTTTTAAAAACACTAGATGTGTAATGGTAAAGATACTAAAAGTAGAAGGAATGTAGGGAAAACCTGCACAGGAGAATTAGCTGCCATGTGCCACTGGCTGGTTTGGAGCTGGAGACAGGAGCAGCAAAGACAGGTGCACACCCTGAGGAGCAAAACAGCAGTGAGTTCATACCAAGAGAAAAAGCTCATTCCTTCCTGACCTGTGCTCCTGGTTGTGGCACCAGGAGCAGATGGTAAATCATGCTCAATTTGAGACAATGCAGTGTAATACTTCCTCTGTTTGTTCCTGTTTGTTCCCCCTGTTTACTCTGCAGCTGGCCAATTGGCTGATGATTAATTACCAGCTAAGGGAAGGTGGGGGGATCTGAAGCCTTCAGCCTCTTAAGAGGAAGAGATCACTTCCTCTTTGCACAGCCAGCTTCCTGTTGATACTGTGGGATGTGGATTCATTGGAATCTGAAATTGGGTCTTTTTAACCTTCTGCTACATTTCAGTTCAATCTTTCAGAGTCAGGAGTACTTTGATTCTTGTCCTTTACTTTTACCATCGAATCTTTCTGCTTGTGAACCATGAGGAGTTTTGCTGCTTCTTTCTCCTTCATTGCTGATAATATTGAGGATTTTTAAACTTTTTAAAAATATATACTTATGACTTTCTATATTAATTAAAATACCTGGATTTTGTATGAACTGTACCATTTCAGTGTGTGGTGAAGTGTCCACACCCATTATGTAATACAAGGCAAACTGATTAATGGGTTTTATTAATTAACCTGTAATTCTTATGCTATGGAGGTTTGGGGGTTTTTGCTATTTACTGTGCAAACACTAATGGTTTGTGTGTCTGAAGATGTGAAAAGGCAAGTTATTCCAAGGTATAAGGTAATTGTAAGAGTTTCTGCTGTCTCCTTCTGTTGATGAAATGGCTCCTCTCCTGAAGTTGTTAAATATTCTATTTACTGAATGGTCATGCATGCTCTGAAGGCAAAAGACATTCTCACTTTTCCCTAGAAATATGTCTGTGCATTGAAGTCCATCTGATCTTTTTGTTTATAAATTTAGGTTCTAAAAACTTAATGAAAAAGAGTCCTGCCTGTCCAAATCCTTGGCTGCTAGATACCATCTGGTTTCCTTGAATTGAGTGGAACAATGTTACATCCACTGAATACTTGACTGGCTGGAAATCAGAGAGAGAGTTCTAGTTTTTGTTTTGAAGCAATAGCCCTGTGGGATTTCTCTTTCTATCTCATATCAGCAGTTCTAGTTTTATTAAATCTGTTCTAGTGTTAATCAAGAGAGAATTCCCTCATCTAATTTATTTGAAATACTGCTTAAGCCCAAGACACTTGCAAAGAAATCCCCAGCTGAAATTTGAGGCCTCTAAATGCAGTGTTTCAACCCCTCACACTTCAAAATGGGTGTTAACAACTGTATCAGTATTTTGATGCTTCTCAGAGGAAGTTTCTTTTCCTCAATAACACTTCAAATTCCTGCCTATGCTGGTTTTGTGTCTTGAATATTGGAGGAAGATAAGTAAACTGTTTGGGCTGGGGACAGGTTAGCAGGAAGTTTTTCAAAAGTGCAGGCCAGCAGGATGGCTGAGTCCAGGAGAGTGGAAAGCTCTGGAAAATTCATCTGAGGCCTTTCCTGGAAAGGACTCTGGTGCTTTTAGGATGAATGTTGTACATGCAGCAGAACACAGGCTGCACTCCTTGTGTTATGGAGAGTGTTGACACTGTCATCCAAAGATTTCAGTTCTCTTAAATTGCTTTTACCCAGGCAAAGCATCTGCTCCTGTATAAGGAGTAGTTGCTGTATGGTGGTCTGTGGCTTTCAGGCACATGTGTGAACTCCATGTGCAGGAGGAAGGGTTTAAATTTCCTTTTTCTTACTGACATTAATGATGAGTGGCTCGGGCATATGTGAATGCACAGAGACAAATTCTGTTTACAATCCTTTTTTTTTTTCTTTCTTTTGTGATGAAGGTGGCAAGAATTGCCCTCTGTCTTCACCCCATTAAAAATCTGTGAAGGGACTTTGTAGGATAAGGACAGAAGAGGAAGATGCAAGAATAGAATTTGCCTTTATTCTTGAGGTTAATATTCACTTACTGCCAATACAGAAATGGTTGAGTTTTCAGCCTCAGTAAGTTTGAATTCAGACCTGCAAATTCCATACGTTCTTGAAGTGCTTTTGAGGAGGAAAAGTAGCAAATCTGAAAATGAAATTCTAGCTGCACCCTACATTCAAGACTTCACAGGCAGTAAATATGCATTTCCAGATATCTGAAATCTCTATCCACTTGACCATTTTCCTCCTGGCGGGAGCAGTGCCCTCTGATGATCCATCTTGCTATGTCAGAATGAGAGTGAGAAAGCCTGGCAGTGAGGCCAGAGCTTCTGCATGTGAAAATGTAAGTCAATTTTTGTTCTAGGCAGATGGCAGTTTCTCAGGGTTTTGTTTTTGTTTTTTTTTTTAATAGATTAATGTCTTTGCTTCATGCAGATACATTATTCTTTTCCTACCTCTGAGAACTGATTGGGGGGAAGTGGTTCAGCAAGTATTCCTGTGTTACAAGGAGAGCAGCATAGAAAACATGACCTGAGTTAGCTTGTCTTTGAGGTCATCATTCTGACAGCAAGGAGTGGCTGTGATAAAGATTTCTGGTTGGCAAAATCAGCACGGCTGACTTGGAGCTAGCAGGAGCTGTGAATACATAAATGCATGGAATGGAAGCTTTGCAGCTGTTGGTATTTACACAGCACCTTGTCTTTGCAGAGCTGGTTTTTGTTCTGGAAGCCTGCAGCAGCTTCACACTTCATCAGCCCCACCAGCTCTCAGGTGTACAGCAAGGTGGGAGCTGCTTCTCTATGGTTTTCCTCCAGCCAGGAGCACCCCTGCCCAACCCTGAGCTTCACTAGTGCATCAAAAAACTGAAAACCTACACAGCTTTTGGTTGTTGTAGAAAGTTTTCTGTATTTTGTGAACTGGCTGAGAAGTCTGGCAAGCACCAGGGTTTTTGTGAAGTAAGCAAGAGGATCAGAGGGGAGAGGAAGAGAAGCAGGAGCTCCTTTCTGGAGGTATCCTACTTGCATTTTGGCTCCCAGTTCCATGAAACTGCACACTGAATTGATGTGGGAGCACAGACTGTAGAGAATTATCTCCTTTTCAGCACCTAGGGCTGTCAGTAAATACATGACAATCAAAATACAACTCCTGGCTTCATGTTGTTGCCCTTATCTCTGTGTTTTCCTGTCCTGCCTTTCTTTCCCTTTCTTGCCCTCTTCCTTTGTGCTGAGCTATTTCAGCTTAAAACCAGCTAAAATTGGCTTAGGTGGCTTCACCAAGAAAGATTTTTCTTATAAAGTCTTTTTTATGAATGTCACTGGAATATCACTATCCAGTGGATTTAGAAGGGGCTCACAACTACTGCAATTGAAGTCTTTACAAAAGGCAAAATTACGGAAATGAGTATTTTAAATTATCTTGCCTTTTGAGAAAAGGGGACAACAAATCAACAACACTGCTCTTCTCTCCCGTACCAGTTTCCAAGCCAGATACTGACAAAACAAACTGAAGGGATAAAATCAAGGCTGCTTAATCCGGGGGAGGCAGATGAGGGGCAAGATCACATTACTGATAAAAGAAAATATGTAAAATAACAAATTCCAGGCTTTCTCCCTTGGGGTGTGCAATCAACTGTAGAAAGAATGTTTATGGAAGAATACATTGTGCTGTTTAAGCATGCTTCAAAGAACAAATCCTTTCTTATCTTGTGGAAATTCATCTCAGCTCTTTCTTTCTTTCTTTCAGACCATAAGTCAGCAGAAGTGATGTATGTTACCCATGGGCCAGTTTGTGCAGGGGTAGCTTAATCTGGGCACGTCCTTACCTTGGATTGGAAGTCTGTTGTATTTAATGGGGTGTTAACTCAGTTTATTCCCTGGGATTTCTGCAGTAATTTTATTGCCTGCAAAAGGAGCAGTTTGAAGCCAGATGAAGTGAAGGTATTCTCTGTACCATACCTGCTGAGCTTGGCAATGATGCCTGGACACACTTACCTTATTCTGGTGTTTCTGTTTTCTTCATCACATCTCCTGCATGTATTTTCCTGGTAGTCCTGCTTTGAGTTTGGGGCTTGTCTTCCTTCTTTGAGGAAACAGATCCATAGGCACTGCATCTGATCTGTTCCCAAGTCTGTGTCAAACGTTCTTGGCAGTACAGGCAAGCATAAGAATAATGGATTTTGAAGTCAGATTTTATGAACCAGGCTGTTTGGTAGTTGAGTTCAGTGATACTGCAGCAGAACCTAAAGTGAAT